AATAATTCGGTGGTTGTAATTCAGTAAAAGCTATAAGGAACCAGAAAGCATCCTCCTCATCCAGGTATAAAAGGGCTACCGCAGCAATCCGATTCAATCCCTCAAAAACCAGTTTGATACTGATCATACAAAAAAATCTAGACACTACCTAACTTTACCTGGCAGTAGCCAATAAGCGTATCATGGTTCCTATATGCATAAAGCACCCTTCTTAACTGTTTCACTTTCTCTGAGTCTGGGTCAGCAAACATGCGATTCGCAGGAAGAGTTCTTACAAGATCGAGGTCAATCTGGATAAGGTACCCATCGTACAAGAAAAAAAGCTTTTAAAGATAGATTAAAAGCATAAATTGTTGAATCATTTAATTATTTAAACCATTATTTATCGATAATATTACCGTACCTGTTTGATTGATGTGTCATAAACGCCACTTTCTTGTTGATACAATGTCTTTCGAAGCATACTGCTGTAATAGCCATTGCCAAACTCCGTCAGTTTTTCCTTTAGAGTCATTTGTATTAATCTAGAAACATCAGATATATTCCTTAAAATAGAAAAGGAAATAATCAACTGCGCACCCCTTCCACACTCGTGCCCGATAGGCTTCGGGTATTCCCGTACGGACTAGATTCTTAAGCTCTACGCTTTCAACTAGTGGCCGACCGACCCAATTTACTATGAAAGCATCCCAGGACTGCAACCAATGCATATTCTCCTTGCTTTGTTCCTGTGAAATAAAATTCAGATGCGAAAAAATGCCCAGAACCGAAGATTACTGAAAACCGTACAAGGTTTGCTGCCTCTAAGCTCTGTGCTCCTTTGTCGGCGTATTCTGCAGCAAGATCCAACAGATCGCCGCTGCTAGAACCCTGAAATAATCGAATAAGGGGGAATATCATGAGACAAATAAGAAAGAAATCTTTCACAAAACGCTAATCAGAATTTTTTTGATTCTATGTAATCATTACAGCACTCAGAAAACTTGAAGCATTAAACTTTCAATGTACCCATTTTTGGCATCTTTCAGTTTCTGAATCAAAAATCTTCACCTCCTCTGTTCGCCCTTTGAGATAAAATCCCAAAGCGTCTGTCTTATCCATGGAATCTCGAGATGTTCGGCAAACTTCAGCCATTAACTGTTGCAACATGCCGGGCTCCATCACTAAAGCAAAGCACTTTACCATCTGCAGCAAGCTGTCCAAATATACTCTGTTCAATTCATCGATTAATATACATAGAAATTCAAATAATTTTAAGCTTTTAGGAAAAGTTTGTCAACTCTTACTGATGCTTGGCTTCTCGGGTGATTTGAAATGATTCAAAACCATGAGGTAGCGGCTCTTCATCTGATAGTAACAGCCTTCAACTTCCGCAAATTGACGCTGCCAGCTGCGTTCTCGTTCTTCTAACGATCGCACCATCTTATGCAACACTACAAAGT